AGTAACATGGGACCCTCATCAGATTATCTAGCTAGCCACAGTTCATCTTACCTTATCTTTATCTTATCTGCTTTCTTATCTTACTCTTATCTTATCTGTTCCAATAAGGATTAGTATAGAATCTGATTTATCTTAGGGAGTTTTTATCCTTCTTGAGTAGGGAGTCTTATCTAGGAGTCTTATCTATCTTATCTGTAAGCAGTTTAGTTATCAAGGAGTCTCCCTACAAGGAGGACTCTTACCTCTTGTAATCTCCTATTTAAGGAGCTGAGATTATTGAATAAAGATATAAAAAAAATTCAGTCAAGGAAGAGAGTAAAAGGAGAGTTCGGTGATCTCTTGGACAAATCACCCTTTAGGACGCCAAGATAGGTTCGGCTGGGAAGGGGAGGAACAAGGGAAAACAAGAGGTTTTTCCCGTGGACCGACCCGTGACGAGATCCTATTCCCGGGTCCATAACAGGTATTCATTTAATTTTGTCCTTTTTACAATTAAAGAATAAAATACAATAGTGGGGAACTGGAGAGAGGTTTGATTGACTCTCTTCCTTCCCTTTTCTTCCATGTTCTTCATCCATTGTTTCTCTCTCCCATCTTCTTCAATCTTCTCCTTTTTCTGTTTTATTTCAAATTATTGCGGGTGGGATTTACATATGTTGTTATGAAGATTATTAGCTTTAATGTTAGAGGATTGTGTAGTGTTAGGAAGAAGCGGGTTATAAAGGATCTCTTGTGAAGGGAGTGACTAGACAGTGATATTGCAGGAAATTAAACTCACAGATATGGATAGAAGGTGGATGAGGAGTGTGTGGAGCTCTAGTGGCATTAGTTGGACTGTAGCACCTTCTTGGGGTGCCTTAGGGGGAATGTTCACAATGTGGAGAAATGAAGTGGTGGAATCTATAGAAGAACTAATTGGCTGTTTCTCTCAATTTCATTAAAATTTAAAAATGTAGGGGATGGCTTTACTTGGGTCTTGACAAATATCTATGGGCCTAACAATTATAGACAAAGAAAGGATTTGTTGGAGGAACTCTTTGACATTAGGGGATTATGGGATGATCCCTAGTGTCTAGGGGAGATTTCTACTAGCATGAGGAAGTTCAATGAGTTAGTATACTCCTGTGAGCTAAAAGAGATTATGCTTCAATGGAATTTGTTCACTTGGTCTAATTTATAGGCTTCCCCTACTTGTTTGAAGATAGATTTATGTTTGGCACTGAGAAGGAAGAGTATGGGGAGGGTTGGTGGCTAGGGAATTGCCAAGGGTTACCTTTGATCATTGCCCAAATAGTATTGGAATGGGGGACTTTCTGAGTGGCCCCGCCCTTTTTAGGTTTGAAATTATGTGGCATACTCATCCAGACTTCATTCATAAGGTGGAAGAGTGGTGGAGAGAAGATATGAGAGTACATTGGAAAGGAGTAAGTTTCCATTGGAAAATAAACTTGGCTTATTACTAGTCATGTGGTTGGTTGCCCCAAAATCAATGATCCAATGGTTGGAAATGAGGTAGACACATGAAATGCAGAGGTCTGGTTACCTGAAGTGGATAGATGTGAGGTAGACAGAGTGACTGAGCACTCTTCAAGTTGCTGGAGAGTCCTACCATACTCTTTCAACTGATCACGTAAGGTATTTAGCATCCCCTCCTTGGAGTTAGAGCCTGTGGAGATACTCTCTTGAGATGAGTCACCGTTTTTTTTTTTTTTTGATAAATGAGAGATTTTATTAGGGAAGAGGATAGAAACATATAACAATTACAAAAGATATTTGGAGAGGCATGAGCTGTGACCTCTCCAACCCATCAAAAATTAAAAGAGATTACAACTGTGCCCAATACAACTCATCCCTAGTTGCCCCTTGCTTGGCTAAGCAATCAGCCATAGCATTAGTAGATCTTCCCACCCATTGTGTTCTAGCATTCAAATTCCTTGTCAAACAGTTAATTTTTTTAAGTTCATTCTTGAAATGCCAAACTACTGTCTCTGGGTTCTGTAACTACCCCATAACCACCTTGGAGTTTCCTTCTATTACTAGCTATTCCATCCTATCTGCACAGCAAATCTACCCCTTGCAGAGCAACAAGCAGTTCTGCCCTAGTGGAGCCCCCCTCGCCTAATGGGCTTGAAAATAACAGAGTTACAGAGCCACTTTCATTCCTTATAACTCCTCCCATCCCAGAATAACCTGGATTGCTTTGACTGCTATCATCAAAATTTAACTTCATAAAACCTTTAGGTGGTGGTACCCAGCTCCTGTGCACCTTTATCTTTAACGAGGAACTTCTTTCCACTGCTGGCTAATGCCACCACAAATCATTGAAAGAAAACTGCTGAAATAAATCCAAAGATTTTAGCCACGAGATAGCCCTATACAGGATAAAGTCCTTCACATCTTGTTGGCTTCTCTCCTTCTCTTGGACTATTCTGGCATTCCTTTCTTCCCACACTGTCCAAAGCAATGCTGCTTTTGCAACCCTCCACATTATTCTTCCTCTTTGTTGGCGCCAAGCAAAGACAGAAGGGTAAAAAAGCAAGCTTACTTCTGCTGGCCTTTTCCACCTGCATCCAAAGATCAAGAATGGCCAATCCCACAAATCTGCTGTAACCGAATAAGAAATTAGTAAATGATAACAATCCTCACCATGGGATCTACAAAGAGTACACCAATTAGGTGAGATGCAAAGATAGGGCCTTCTCCTTTGTAGATTAGATTTTATTCCCATACTGCTGTGGTTCCTTAAAGGACTGGAATTTCTTTGGCTTGTCCACAGGGTCCCAACATGTTTCTTTGGTATGTCAGGTTCTGCCACAATGAGAACATCTCAACTTATCTCTATCAACAGCCTCAGTCCTCTTCATAGCATCATTACCCTTCCTCCTCTCCTTAGATTGAACTAGGGAGTAAACTTCCTGAATTGATGGGAGCTCCTTTCTCCCTAATACCTGAACACGAATGAGCTCATAACTGGGATTAAGACCAGCCTAGAAAGCAAACACCCTCTTCTGATTTATAAGTCTCTTATACTCCTATGCATTTGATTCATTCTTCCAGTCAACAGTCAGATAATAATCAAGCTCTTTCTACATTGAGGTCAGAGAAGAATAATATGATGACAGACTTTTCTCCTCCTGTACAAGTGGATTTTTTTTTTTTTTGATTGGAAACAACAACTTCATTAATATAACTTAAAAATAACTTTCCAGATTTAAGTACATCTGTCAACCCCTAAGTAGGTGTTGAGCCCCCAGTAATCTTTCTTACAAAACTGCCCAGAACATACTCTCCCTCACAGTCCCTTGTTTACAAGTGGATCACTACTTGAAGCTGATATGTACGAGCATAATGCCTTTGCTCGGAAAAGTAGCCTTAGCTTGATTCCATATCTCCTTTTCCATATCAGTCCACATGAAGTTCTTCCTCAGACTAGGGTGAATAGAGGTCACTAGCCAAGACATGATCAAGTAGTTGTCTTGGTCCCACTTACCACGAGCCAAACGAGCCTCCTTAGGTTGAGGGACATCACCGGACAAATACCCAAGCTTACCTCTTCAGCCCACGTATAATTTCACACTTTTTGATCACTCCAAATAATTGAGTCCATCAAGGACAGTGATAGCAACAATAAAACCCCAACTTTTAGCACCTAAACTGGTCATGTTTTGGCTTCCAGTAACTTCTGAGATAGTTGAATCTTCAGTAGGCATTGTCCTTACACATAATAAATGGTAATCACACTTGAAACTTGTACCAGAAAGGAGTAAAAAGCACCAACAACCACAAACCCCGATCTGTTTATCTGTTAACAACACCTAAACCTGGCTGGAAGACACAAAACCAGCAGTAGAAATACCTTCAAACACCACCAGCCCAAAAAAGGAAGGAGGGAACACCTCCATCCAACCCTCACAGTCTGTACACTGCTAAACAACTGATGTGTGGGGGGAAAGAACACTCCTCAAGCACCAAACACACCACAATACAGATTGCCAGGTCTGAAACTTGGTGTGAGATCCATAAAACAGGGCACGACACACAGACAAATGGATCTCACATCTCAACAACAGAAGAACACTGAGGAAACTCCTCCATGAACTCAAAAACTCATCATATGAAGGAATAAAACACCCCAAACAATAACCTTTTTGGTTCTACAACCAAAAGGAAAAGAAAGAATAGCAGAAAACACTTACTTGGTCGGATCTCTTTCAGATTTTTGGAAATTCCAGTCAATTCTAGAGGAAATCTGAGTAGAAGAGAAGAAAGAAGGGCGCTTTTTGGTTCTACAACCAAAAGGAAAAGAAAGAATAGCAGAAAACACTTACTCGATCGGATCTCTTTCAGATTTTTGGAAATTCCAGTCAATTCTAGAGGAAATCTGAGTAGAAGAGAAGAAAGAAAGGTGGATCCAAGCCTTGACTTCTATCAATCTTGCTCTGATTCCATCTAGAAGTAAAGAGAGGAAGAGAGAAGGAGAAACAGTAGATCAGAAGAAAGAATATTTGCTGGAAAAGTGTCAGTGGCAGCACCCTCACTGAATTATATGTGAGGGTGTTTAAAGAATAGAGAAAACTACAATGGTTACAGCTTAACAAAGAAAAGGCAATAATAACAGTCTAATAAGAACCTAACAGTGGTCCCAACAACATAACTAATTTACTTTTTCATTTTATGTATTCATTTTGTTTATGTACGTGTGATTTGGTGGTTGGGGTGGAATATAATTCCTTAATACCTGTACTAGGGTGACATATTGTGTTGGATACTTAATTTTTATTGTGAACTCCTTATTTGATGCCTTGTCAAGCTGTGTCCTTGTTGTATTTGGGTAACATGGGTGGCAGGGAATTTCCTAAGCTTCTTTGCTCTTTAGCTGGACACTGTTTAGGAGTGACTAAGGATTCTGTTGGAATTGAATAAAGATTCTGCTTTTTTTTTGTCTCTTGATACACATGGCTGTGATGCTCATCTTATTATGGTTCTGCTTAATTCTGTAGGCTAGACGTCAGAAGGTAGGAGAGAAACCCCTTCTCTCAGTTTCTACATTTGTGCAGGTAAGAGTTCCCTGCCATTTTAGCAGGTTCATTTAGCTCTCTGTTGTTTGTATTTGAAGGTGTTATTGTCAAAAGTCTGATCTTGTATTTTCAGCGTGCTATCCTAGTGAGTTTAAGAAAGACAGGTTGAAGGGAATAGCTAAATTTCTTTATTTCAGAAGTGTTCCAAAAAGCTTGTTTGACTAATGCAACAAAATAAAGCTTAAGCTAAGAGCCTTGAGATTCAATTTTAAGGCTATAAGACACATGCCTCATACCTTGAGTCTTGAGATGCCTTATGCCAAGAATATGTCATTCACATTTTACACATTTATTGAACTATTGAAGTGGGCTTCTCATCATAAAATCATGTTAAAGATCAATTCAAGCCTTCCATGTGTTTGTGGTTCATTTTAATATTAGGTTTTTAATACCCATTTGAGGAGCTTTCTAGTCTTGAAGTTATGTGTAAGAACGGATTTAGTTGTTTGAAGCTCTTAGTATCCCTCTTTGTGTGATTCATCCATAGAAATGTAGTCATTTTATGTATAATTTCATACTTGACTAGGAAACTAGGAGGCACTTTCAAATGGGTTTGAAGATCAGCATACAGTTTTGCCAATACAATTGCCAAACATGGGGTAAACAGAGCTAATCTATTTTAGGGAACAATATCACAATGATTGATGTAATCGATAGGGGTTGTGGTTAGGAAGCACATTGGTAGCCTAACAACATAGCGAATCCAGCCCTTTGCTGAATATATTCTATTGTTTTGTACACAAGCAATAAAATTTAATTGTTAACTGGAAAAAGGCGTTGTTTTTTCATTCTCATGATGGAAATGCAAGGAGTGGCAACCCAAGGTTGGAGTTTTTGTATTGTTGTTTGGTTGGGAGGTTCATCAACTCTGATCCTGATATCAGAGAAGTGGAGAATTACGTGTCAATGGAATGGCATGGTAGGCATTTAGAAAATGTGTGGAGACTGGGGGTGTGCTTTTTATATTTAGTTTCAGGAGGAAGTGTGATATGGAAAAGGTGTTGGAATTAGAAAAAAATGGAAAGAGGAAGAGGAATAAAGATGAAAGAGAAGAGAGAGAGAGGAAGGGAGAAGAGGAACTGTCGCGACTCATAGGGCAACAATGGGAAGAGGAAGAGGAAGAAGCTGAAAAGGCAAGGGAGAATAAGGGTAAAAAGGTAATTTTTAGTGAAGGGCCCTTTTTGGGTTTAGAGGGTAAAATAGGAAAGACAAAAGAAGGGGTGAATGATGAATTTACTAATAAGTGCGAGCCTAGGGTTGAGGTAGGTTTCGAAAAAACATAAGGGGAAGAGCATTAAGATTGGGGGAATAGGAGTTGAAGAGATGAAGAGAAAAGAGGGAGGCTGTGTTAGGGTATTTCTGTCTTTATACTTATGTTGAGGTTGCTGATCTGTAATATTATATTAGAACTAGTGTCCCTCACTTAAGTAAGTTCACATGTGTCTTTTCCATTATGTTAGTAATATAAAACATGTCTGGCCGAATGGGAGAGGGAATTTTTTCTCTCATTCGAACCAAACTTTTCTTCTCTCTTTTTCTCCTCTTTTCTCTCTCTTTTTTTTTCTTCTTTCTTCTAGTAGAAATCACTGATTGTAGATTTAGTTGAATTTCTTGTGAAAGGAAAAGGGGAGGAAG